TTTCCCTATATTCAAAATATTTCTCCTTCCTTCAGCACCCAAGTCATAGCTGCAGTCCAGTCAAAACCCAGTGAAGTCAAAGGAGTGTCTTCAATGTATTCAGTGGGTTTTCGATTGGGACCTGACGGACTAGTATAAAAGCTGGAGGAAACGGTTATTTCAATGGACCCTCAGACTGTAAGGTGACTAAGCAGGAATAGTTGTGTCTCCGAAAGCACAAGGGGCCATATTTTAACATGCTGTCATAAATTCAAATATTTTTAAGACTAAGCAATACAGGAGAACACATTGGATAAAGCTCAAACCTTTAGAATCTAACAAGTGCACTCAAGCTCCAGCATCTATTAAAGTAAATTATCCCCCCTCTAAGAAATACAAAATGAGTAAGTGCTTCCCTTCCCCTTCTGTAAAGCTTTCTGGACTCGTTACACAATCCAGATAATCAGAAAAGAAAAATAGTTTGCTCAGTTTTTGACAAGCTAAATTGGCTCATCATCACTGGAAATTGTCATGATGTACATTACCAAGACATCATTAAGGAAACATGAGTAACACACCTTTTATTCACACTTTACAAAAAAACCCAAAAAAACAAACAGAAAAAAAATAACACTACGCATTAAGTCTACTACAGCAATACTACCAGCATTTCAATGTACTGATTATAAACTGGACATGTTTGGTGTTTTCACAACTAAAACCAGAACAAAATAACCCCAAGAGATCAGGTCCCAGACAAGGATTCAAGATCAAAATTTCTCCTATTGAAATTTTAAAACGTACATTTTACATATCCGAACTGTTTGCAATTTTCACTTTCAGCTTAAAACAGAACGGTTTGAGCACACTTATGTGCTGACTACTTTTCCATAAAATTTTGAATCATTATTACCAATCCATTCTCTTATATATAAAAATTCACAATATTTAGAAAGTTTTCTCTTAATGCTCAGTGTCCTTTTGCTTCCCTGCCCGCAGCTGAAACAAAAGCTGTTTAAGACCAAGCTCTCTATCTGCATTTTTAAAATTATTTTACATTGATTATTCAAGTTGTATTACTTTAAGGAGAAGATAAATTCTCCCTTTTAGGATACAAATAGACAAGTTAAATTTGTAAGCTGTTATATACTTGGCTTCATGACACAAATGGCACTGAGGGTACACTATAACTTTAGTCTTGCTTGACACTTTAAAATAAGACTTGGTCACTTTAAAAAAAAAAAAAAAAATGATCTGAAGAATTGTCTTTGGGACCTGTATTGAAAAACGCATTTATTTTACACTGCTTCATCAATAGAAAATGTAGGGTCAGGGTTTTATTCTTCAAGGAATTATACTTTCTGAAACTGAGGAACACACTTAAATGAGAGAATTCACATGATAGTAATTCTAAGTGGGAAAACCGGCACTGTGCAATGACACTGAAAGAAGCAGTGCATGGGTATTAGAAGCTAGAAACTGTGTACCCATAACCTGAACATGTTCCAAAAGTGTGATATTCAATGCTTCACAAAGGAAAAAAAGATGCCACAGCTTATACAAAAGTATCTTCATAAAATTTTCACAAGTGTTAACATTATTTAAAAAAATAAAAGAGGATGCACAGGATCTCTCTGCATGCACAGGCAGTGCTAGTTGAGAACAAATTTAAGCAGGCACAGTGGAGATAGGACAAGTATTTAAAACAGAAATGAAGAAGCTGTACACAAGTATCCTTAAATTTTACTTCAAAAGTTAGAGATGAGAAAAATATCTGAGTGTATACACATCAGCAATAACTTCCAATCCGTACAGGTCTACTTATATTCACTGCTTAGCTTATCTGTTCTGCGAGAACTCTATGCTTTTCTCTTTTTTTTAAAAAAAAATCAGAAATAGACAGAATGTATTTAGTTATCTCTGTAAGATATTAAGATTTTATAGGTTTGGATTTTAAAAGCAACGTTCTCAATTGAACATAAAAAGTAGTACAAAAGGGCTAACAAAACCCTAACAGTGCAAATCATTAGCAGAGAAAACCTGTGACAACCTCTTTTACAAGCTGGCCTTTATAACACATGAAAACAGATAAAAATTTAGCCTTAGTTTACAATACAATCATTTTCCAAATCTGATTTTTCTTTTTTTAAAGTACAAAATCTCATAAATCAGGTTTTCTGTTGTTCATATACAATCAATAAAGGCTAAATTCAAATTCTATATTTTACAAACAAGTCTGAAAAAGGAGAGAGTGAAGTACGGAAGAATGTTCTGTGGATGTTCCTACTGGCCTCAAAAAAGTAGTGCTACAGATAACTGTGCAAAGAGAATATACTGTATAACAATTCCCTATGTCAAGGCATGAAAATGTCACGTTGGAGAAAAGAAACAAGAAGGTTAATTGTAACGTATTAAAGAAAGGTGCAAATGCACCAATCGCTGTTGAACAGTATACAAAGTATATTGGGCTCAGAATTGTGTCTGTTGATAGCACCTGGCTTTTACTATGTCTTTAGCAAATAATTAGATTTAAGATTAAGATTATTAAGAAAAAAAAAAAATCCCTGTTGGCCATACCTCACTCCTCTATATTCAGATTTTACAATTGTACAAGTTAGATTGAGGTTACCCTCTAAAATGTACTTGACTACCTCCTGCCAGGGAGATGGATTCCATTTACAGGAGGCAGGAAAGGCAGCAAAAGCTCCAGTTGTGCAAAAAGTGAGAAGTGGTCAGAAGGGATGAGTGGATGTGGACAACCACTTATATTGTTCTCTATTAACCAATGATGATCCAAAGGTCCAAGAATGCCAAGTATGTTTAGCTGAGGTTTAGAGTAGAAGATGTAGTCAATAATACCCTAAAACAAGAAAAGAAGTAAAATCAATTATTAGTATATATTTTTGATATATTGCTCCAAACGAAAGGTGAGCTCAGTATTAGGAGTAAGCAAAATTCTACCATTCCTTCTCTCTAGCACATCAACTTTGGAGACTTCTACTTCTTATAACCCATGGGTTGCTCAATGTGGATTAGGAAAACAGAAAGTCCACCTTGTATCACTTCTGCTTTGCTTTTGCAGGTTGTCATTTCCAACCTCCTTAAAAGCTTCAAATTGTGTTTCTCTGATTTTGAAGAGGAAAAGAACCACCTTTGCTTCCCCTGGGCAATGGAGCACTGAGAGTTTTCTGGTAGCAACATGGAGTGCCCCTGTTGCACTGTATTAAGACACAAAATCTTCCTATTTACAGGGAAGGTTAACAGCATGCCAGCTCCTGCAAATCTGTTACAAGTTACTAACAAGAAAAAGGAAAATCTGGTTTCTAGGAGACTGAAGTGTTGGGTAATCTGGTTTGCTATGTTTTAAATATAAACTTGGTGAATTTACAGTTAGCTACCCAATCAGATAAACTTCTTTGGTAAGCAATCTTATACTGTAAATCATGTTAGTAAAACCTCAAAGTGGAAAACTTTTCCAAAATAAGAGCCAAGTCCTTACCTTGAAGTCAAATGTGTAATTTGTATAAGGCATTAGACCATTCTCATAGGCACTCTTCAACTTGAAACCATGCGTAATTCTTCCATTTGTTGTTCCATTTTTCCCATTACAGCTGAAGTTAGTAAGACTTTCATTGTATCTCAGTTCCTTAAAATCTTTGTGGTTTGTTTCCACTCCACCAGTGCTCAAGTACTCAACAACACCTATTAGGAGAGACACACACACACAAGAAGTTATTAACAAGCATTCAGCAAATAAGAGTGTGTAGGTACTTTGAGTCATACATGCACCTTTATGCTTTATATAAGCAAAACCTTAACATATATATAACAGCAGTTGCTCTTATAAAATATTGCAAGACTATGTATGTCAAGAGCAAATGTCACCTAGAACGGAGAGACATGCTTTGATTTGAAAAAAAGAGAAGGTTAATCAGGAATAGACTGGGGAAGAAGATGAGAAAAGTAGAAGTAAAATTCTAGAGGTGCTAGGGAGCTTATATCTGGAACATGTTTTCTTCCTTTCCATTCCTGTATTGTAAGATAACAATTAAAATGTTTCTGAAAGACCAGACACAGCTATACTACTACATAGGCAATAAGGTCACTCACAAGAAAACCAGTTCTAACTTTCCTCTCTTCCTTCCATATTCTTAGCACCTTTAGAGATCATGGCATCAAAACACCACATTCCTTAAGTTGAACACTCCTTTAAAAAAGTGAGACCTTAAAATTTAAATTGTTACACACTTGAAACAGTCTGGAAAAAAAACCAAAACAAACAAACAAACAAAAAAACCCCAAACAAACAACAAAAACAACAAAATAGAACTCTTACCAGAGTCTGGTAGAGAATTGAGATCTGCACACAGTACAAGTGGAATGGTTCCAAGTTCTCCCGAAACACCAGGTTTGAGACTACGAGAAGCTTTATCAATAATGTTCTTTACCTCGGACAGGAACATCATAGTCTGAACCAGCTTCACATCAGAATATTCTGGGTCCCAATGCATATGTGCATTAGCTACAAGAACTAGCTGCTTTTCCATTCCAAGATGTGGCTTTCCAGCTAAAATTTAAAATCAATTATTTACCTTACACGACCAGCAACAGAAAACACTACTATTGAATTTTAAACAAGACGTTTGAGGGGAAGAAAAATTAAAACAAAACACTAGTATGATCTGAAGAAGGTTAATATCATTTAATTGAAGAGGGTCATACAACTCCTCTTACATCCACTAATCGTTTTAGTTGATAAAAATACGAGGGATAATTGTGTTTCACATTCAAGACCATTAAGAGACAAGACTATCCTGTTACAGGTAACGCTTACGTATCTAAGAATACTGTGAATTAACATAAATACCAAATACTCCTAATTAGAGACAAATAGTGTAATTCTAAAAAATTACAACGGTTTTCCTTAGGTTGTGATAGTAAACAGGCACCGCTCATATCCTATTAGGCAATGAGCTCTGAATTTTAAATTATCCACATAATAAGGTACCTCTCTTGCTAGAAGTGCTTCTTAAAAGGCTCCTTTGTTAGAATCTGAATTAATAAAATCTTATTTGGATAAACATAACACAGGCTGAGTAGGTACCCACTGCCATCTTATAAAGCCAATTTACATTTCCTAAATTAAGAATGACAGGGCAGAACAAGCAGGTTGTATAAGCATGACAGTGAAGAAAATCACAAGCTAAAATGACGCAGGTACGTGACCCAGAAACACTGACTAGCATCAACTGACTCTCTGATACCTGTACATAACTCCAAGCAAAAATCACACAAAGTCGAGTCTTAGTACTTTTTAAGAAAAAAGGTGTAAGTGGGAAAAATATCTTCATCACTTAAGCAACACAACCCTTCCCCAAATCCTCTTTGGAAATAAATTCGTCTGATCATACAATATTCAAAGTTATATTAATTTGTAGAACCTAGTTTCTCTGGTTTATTAAGTCTTTTTTTTTTTCATTTACAAAATACAATCTATTAAAAAATTAAACTAAATAGGACTTACATGACATTTCTATCAACTCCTTTCGCAGTTCTAACAATACTGCAACCCCAATGTTATCTTTTGTCATAACTCTGTTCAGCATAGCTTCCGAACCTTCCGAGTTTGCCATAGCTAGTTGATTGAACTCAACAGTATGTTTTTGAACCAAAGTAAATCTGGAAGAGAAACATCATATATATTTTCCCAGCAGCCAGATACAAAAGGAAATGTTATAGATAGTTCTGCTTTTAATTAAAGCTCAAACACATTTATGATGTGAAAATCTCAGCCAATCACGTAGTTTCATAAAATCCTAAACTGAAATCAAAGGATAGAGTTTTCCTAGCAATTATTAGATATTTTACACTACCTTAGTTTCAATTAAAGGTATTTTATTCCCAGAGAGAGATAGAGAGAGATTGAGAAAGTATAGGAAAGAATTGCTTGTTCGTAATTCTGCACCAGTTTCTAGTTCAAAGATGCAGGTTTAATAGAGAGGGACTAAATAATTTTTCTGAGCCAAATGGTATCAAACCTGGCACCTACATTTACTAATAGTAATAGCCCTAATAGTTGGGGGACACACACTCAACAATTGAAGTATACTTTAGTAGATCATCAGAGAATGCAAATTTCTGTATAATTTAGTGAACTCCTAACCTGCGTTGCTCTAACAGAATGAAATTTCAACTTACACAGAACTTCAGGGTAAAATTTTCTGTTGCTAGTTATGCAGAGAATGATTTCTCTTGTTCTCTTTCCAGTAGTAGGAATGCTCTATAAGAAACCCTGCAGCTACAAAAAGGGTGAATAATGCCAAATTGTTTGAGCTATAGACTGACCTGAGAAATTAGGTGAAAGAGAGCAAGACACAAGAGAAGGCTTTGCCAAACACATCACTTACTTTTCTGTTTTGAAAAATATTGCACAACCATCAACATGCTTTCTTTCCTGTTCTGACATTGTCCTAGCTCTAGATTTTGGACTGAAGAATCCATTGTAGCCACGTTCTTTCAATTCTACCAGGAAAAAACTGTAGTACTGTTCCGTTTCAACCTCCTATAAAGTTATAAGACAGCACAGCACGAACGTACTATTAGAAAAATACAGAAGACTTGATATTATTTAGAGTCTTAGAAGTGTAAATCACTTTCAAATGAGATATAAGGGGGAAAAACAGTATGAATTAAGTGCATCAGAGAATGCAAATTTGAGGCCAATATCCCTATTTCAAGAAAATATAAATGAATTTCTGTAATCCCCAGAGTTATGATTATCTCAAGCCTTTTATTTGAAAACATGTCAATTATAGCCCCACATACGCAGGCAGGCACAAAGACACCCCCACGTACACTTCTTTGATCAGCAGCTGCTGCTTCACATTCCAACTGTGTGGGCTGAAAAGCATTCTTTTGATGTCAAGCAACAAATAATGTTCTAAACAACACTTCTTTTTTTCATTTGTTTTCAGGAGGTTTTGAAAACAGACCGTTTGCTGTAAATACATTTAATATAGCAAAACCAGCACATGGGAATAGAAAAGGAAAAGAAAGAATAGTATATTTTTTACCTGAAGACTTATGATGTCAGCATTGCAGCTCAGGATTTCCTGCATAATGGCTTTTTTTCTGTATTCCCAGTTTAATGCCCAAGATGGACAATAGCCATACAGCTGCCGAGTAGCATATTTATCACAGAGTACATTGTAACACATGACGGAAAACAAGGCTGTAGAAAAATAATTTTACTTACACACTGACATATTTAAAAAATATATATACACAATTATGTTCTTCACTTTTGTCTTCTGAAAATTTATCAATTCATGCTTCATTTGCTTCAGTTAAAACACAGCTTGTGGATCTATACTAAAAAAACCCTTTTAGTTCCAAGAAGATAAATTATGAGTGTGGACTTACGGCAGCTGTCTTCTAGTATTTAATTAGAAAACAAAACCCAAACCTCCTCTTTATATGGTTAATGCAGTAAATAGCATAAAGTACATCTGCGTGCTAAGTGGTGCTCTACTGTGAAAAGCCTAAAACAAGATAAGTGTATTTGAACACACACTTGCTAACTACACAAAGGTGTGCAAACACTTCAAATAGATTATTTAAAATTTACCTTAACTATTACCACCACAAACAGATCCATAGGCAGGGTAAGGATCCCTTCACACCATGACAAAGTATGAGCAAAACAAAACCCCAAATGTTTCCACCTAAAAAGCTTACAATTCAGGTGCAAAGACAAGAAACAGCTACTCTCTGTATTCGTTTCAACCAAGAGTGATCATGAGACAGTTTGGGGCAACTTGACAGGTAATCCAGCAGCATGGGGTTTTGTTTTTTTGTTGGGGTTTTTTGTTTTTAAAGAGCACTGAGGAATTTGCAATATGACAACGAGATACTTGGAAGCTTACTGGGAGCCCCTCTCAAACGTGGTGTACAACGCAGGAAAAAGAAACAAGAGAGTTATTTGATGATTTAGCAAATCGAGGCAAGAATCCCAGGCTGATTGGGGGGGTCAAAGCCCAGCATTTTGAAAACAAATAGGTGACAGCAAAAGACAAGCTTCATTATTACCATCATGATCTCTGAAGCAATCGCCTTAATAAAATCAATAGGGGAAAGGAATGAACACCAGGCCTGAGAGAGAGGACGCTGCAGAAATTGAGAAATGCACTAAGATTTTTTGGCGTGTGGGTACATAGAAAAGGCTGTATTTTTGACAATTCATGCATAAAGAAAAAAAAAAATCAGTAAACAAATAAACATGACCTGAATCCCAAGAGCAAAAAAAGTGCTGAGTCAAAGATGATACACTGGTTATTTAAAAAAAAAAAAAAAAAATCTACATTTTTTGGGAATTATGCTCATGTTCTTCAATTTTTTTTGGTTCAACAAATGTTCATTTGAGCCTGTTATAATTCCACTCTTTAACTAATTTTGGACAACAGTTTCAATTCCTGTGAGGAGGACATTAATTAAAAAGAAATTACTTTATAGTAAAAGATGAGTAAATCTGAAACAGGTGTTCCACTTGAGATACAACTACTTCAGCTGGCTGGTCAGCACTGCAAAGATGACTGGTTAATTTAAGCATCAATTTTTTTTCAACAGATAGTAAAAATCCACAGCTTTTACAAGAGGAAAAAAAGTGTTACAGTACCTGTTGGTCTCGTACGGTCTGGTTCTTGCAACATAATCCAAGATCTTGGAGGTGGTTGTTCTGTTGAAACTGTGGGAACATTTTAAAGGAGAGATACAAGTGATAATCACATTTATTTCACAAAGCAGAAATAAATGTTTTAAGAATGATCACTTACTTCTTTTTGCAGTACCTGCCAAATTATCAAGCAAATAGTTCAGTAGCCTTCGTGTCCCATCTGGTTCCTGATAAAGGTTCAGAATATCCTGTGTAAGTGGATTTCCTGCAAACACATTTACAGAAATACTGAATAAAATATATAGAACCATTACGAACTTCTGCATCAGTGTTTAAAGCTGGCATCTCTGAGAAAAGATACTGCATCTACTATGAACTACTTGGAGGTTTCAAAGATCAGGTCTTCAGTCCCACAAAGCACTAGATGTGTGAACAGCTCTAGTGAAGTTAACCACATTCCCTCCTGCGTCTGTCTCCCGATTGACCATCCCAAGGGTGGTCGCTGGATCTGACAGTAGGGAAGAACTGGTGTGACACAACATGCAGGCAGAGCTGATGAGGCCAAACACAGGAGCCACCTCTGCTTGTTTTGCTCGATGCAAGTGAAACATCCACCATCAGTTTATTTGCCAGTCAGATCTGAGTAGAGTCTACTGCCTGCCAAATGCATAAGCAGATAGTAGAAGTTTTCCCAGACAATGCACATTGCAATTATCCAGTTTTAAGGAGGAGAAAAACAGACTTTTGACACTTAACAGTGTTGAGAGCATTGCATCACCCAGTGCTCCTGATTTTGTGATACAAGTTCCCCCAAAATCAGCAATTTTATAGCTAGAATCCATACAAAGGAAAAAAAAGATTGGAAAAAGTTTTAAACTGCTGCCTGCATAAACTGCACCGTACCCTACAGCAGTACAAAGCATATTCCCTTTTTGGTTGAATACCTACAGTTCACTGCAGACTTTTTTTTTATTTATTTAAAGCAGCACTCTATCCAACCCCTGTGCAAACAACAGAAAGCTGCTTCTCACGCTGCAGAAAGAGAAGCAAACTTCCTCATATCTGGAGTGCTTTGCCAAACTCATTCTTTTCTTAAATAACCCCTAAATAACAGTATTTATTATTGTGGAGTAAGTAGCTACATCTGGGATTGCTATTCAGTAACAACATTCTACACCCATTACATCTCATAAATTGTATCATTACAAAGCATGGATACCAAGAAAAAGTAGTGGTACCTTTCAGACCCAAAGTCTGTAACTGGAACAGTTTTCCCAGCTCAAAAGGTAAAACTCGTAACAGGTTGTTATTTAAATGTAGTTCCCTGTAGAGAGAGCAAGAATCACATAGGGCTGAAAACAGACCAATGTTTGTCTTCAGCAGTACAGTCCAAGAAGTTTAACTAAAAGAGAAACAATATACTAGCAAACCACAATATTGAAAAACTCAAAGACTAAACAGCAACCGTTAGGGAAATCCCACTGTACGCAAACACACACACAGAGACAAAATAAGTATTATGCTGAAGTACAGAAGAAAGTACCTGTTTGGCGAGTTCATCTTAAAAAGTCCAAAATTTTGTAAACATTCGCAATAATTAAATACTTAAATAACTACAAGTGATGAAGCAGTAACAGCTCTGACAAAACAGACCATGAAACAGTTCAGCAATGACTAGAGGCCAAATAAAGGGAAATTATATCCCAGAAAACAAATAAGCAAAAAATCCCAGATCATAGCAGTAGAGTTATGACATTACCACATAATGGTCATTTACTTGTGTTTTTGGTTTGGTTTTTTTTTTCCATAAATCCAGTGTTAAGACAAAATATGTGCTTTTTAACTTCCAAAACCAATATGCAGACAGGAACAGAATTCATGTCTTGAATTCTGATATCCCAACTAACTGGGCAGAGAAAATGGACTTGTCAGGAGCTTTTCACTTTGTTAAACACATTTCCAACTAAGCAGTGAAGACTTTCTTCGCCATATTCAATATAAAGTTGCTACTTGAAAGAATTTACAGCTTGGTGGTGCTTAGAGACTAAAAAGTATTTTGGGGCAACAAAAAAGGGGGGAAAAAAGAAAAAAAAAAAAAAGGAAATCTGGATTCCAAGAGTTACTTTAGCTCTTTTAGATTTCTACAGGACAGCATTTGAAATGAAGAGACACAAGTCTTCTTCTAGCCTTGCATTTCAAAAGTAAACTCTGCTTGGTCCTTCCCTAACAAGGGCTTCCTGAGAAATTCTCTCTGTTTCACTGCATATTTAGAAACCTTGGTAAAGTGGCTTGTTTTACAGACACACTGGGGTGTGGAACAGTGGAAAAAAATACAGGAGGGGGACTTTCTTTTTACTTCACTGGGTTATCTAGAAATGCCACATCATTGCTCAGCTGATTGCCAGACTATAGCACATGCAGCCAACTGAGGCTTTTTTTGTGTTGTCTTTTTCAATATAAAATCCCACAGACAAAAGCACATATTTTAGAGAAAAACTCAGAAGCCCACTGTGTCATACCAGGGTTTCTAAGTATGAATGAGGCACATGGCACGTAGAAAAGAGGATGGAGGGGTTTAAAAGAAAATCAACATCTCCCCTAGTTCTCAGCACTTCCATAGACATTTGAGATGTAAATGGCTATGAGTTTTAGGGATGATATTCTATACAAGACTATAAAACTACTAGTTTGTTCTTTAGCAAGTTACTTTATCCTCTGAAGAGTTTTTCAAAGCACCGCTGAAGTCTAAAAAAAGTTACGCACTAATTATGAAAAAATATACTAAATTCTTCTAGAGGAAAAGCACCGAGCTGGAAGAATGCCACAGTAGTAGGTATCATTACACTTTCTCTCTTGGATGAAAGAATTATTTTCTCTAACAATCCTTGCCTCCATGGAACCCACCCTTCTACACAGCAGAGGGGATCACAGCAAATCCCACTAGGTCTTTCACGCATTTCAAGAGAATGTTTTACAGCTGAGCTTTCCAATATAACATCTTACAGTGTTTATTTTTCCTCCTCTTTCCACAAAGATCAGAAACCTTACTGCTCTCTCCAACACCTCTTTCTTCAAGCCCCTGCAGTAAAAAGGGCGATTGAAGGAGCCTCAGGCAATCTTTGCCGTAGAGACCAAACCCAGAGCTCCAGATGCAGGAGCTGGCAGACCTGTTATCAATTCTCAAGTGTGAGAGCACAAGTTATTTCCATGGCTCAGGATATCAGCAGTGCCTATCGTTGAATTACCATTGGTCTAACAGCTTCCCAGAAGCTATGGGAAGTGTCTGCAGCAAGAGCCAGCCTGAAACATAAAACTCCAGCACAGCTGAGACCTGCAGAGTGCCATCATGCAAGATGCACTTAGGGCTTTTTCTTCATTCGTGGATCAGCTGCAATTACTGAGGACAGAGTGTGCAGTGGATTAACGCACTAGCTTTTCACAGCTAGAGATCTGGATTCAAGTGCTATGTTTAGGTAACAAATAGAAAACTAGTGTGATCCTAGACCATAGCCACATATTTCACAGTCACAAGATGTAGTCTGCTCTACTTAGAAGAGACTTAGGACTTGCAAGAGCTGAAGCTTCATAGAATCACCCAAAACAAATTGGGAAAAGTGTTAGGAAGAAGCCGTAATATATCTTTTGACACCACTGATGACTACAGAGTGCTAAGATAACTCCATGTCATGAGTATCACATTTACAGAAACACTTTAAAAGGAAAAAAACAAATGAAAAGGATGCTGATGAAGTACGAAGATGAATTTGAGAATATTCCAGTAAAGTTAGGACTGCTAGCTCACAATACCTGAGCAGTGGATAAAGGAGGGAAGAAACCTGTTATTAATAACTGCTTTTAATTTAAATAGTAATGCAAAGCTTTCTTTAGAACCTACTACTTCACAAAACTATACAAAACACTAAAAAACAGATGCCAATTAAGCTCTAAAAAGCAAGGTCCCTTTGCTCAGCCTCCAAGGTTGAGTCTTTAACCGCTTTGGAATTTGAGCCTTTAGTACCAATTTAATCAGCTAGTTTAATCCTCCCCAACAGAGTGGACTTTTCTAAAGTAGAAGAAAATGCAATGACTGATATTTCTGTGTGCAAACTTGCTTTGCTTCCAGTTTCATCAGAGCTGTGCTGGCAGCCCAGTTCTCTATTGTCTTCTTTTTTACTTCTAATAACATTCTTGTTACTTTTGGACTCAGCACTTTCTGGATTTGAGAAAGCTGTCCATGAATGTCTTCAAAATTAAAAGCAATGAAAGCAATTACCAGTAATTGTCTGATAAACCTAAGATAAGGTTCTTCCTTTGGGTCAAGCGCTAAAGAACGTTGCCTATAAATATTTACTCTTCTATAAATCATTTATAGATTTACATAACAGTGTTTTTACAAAACTAAATGCCACAGACTTCTAATCTAAATAGTCATCACTATGCATGTTCCATTTCCAAAAAGAGGTATCATTCCATGCAAACTTTGCACATCTTGGCACTGTAAAAATTGAGAAAAAACAAAAGGTACATTTAGAACACTCTTTCTCCTCCCCAGTTTGCACAGGAATAAAGTTACATGATAGCAAATGTGGGAAGGAGACAATGTTAGACAAGTTGCAGTTGTTATAAAATAAACAGAATAAGAACTATTGTTAAGAATAATTACTGAAGATTAATAAAGAGGAAAAAATTGTAGTTAGCATTACGGATATTTAATCTGACCTTTTTCCTACCTTAGCAGGAGCCTAAACCTTTTTTGTGAATCAGTATTTCTTAAGAGAAAAACACCATGTAAAGATTTGTAAAAGAGTCTCGAAAGAGATGCATAAGAGAGGAAACCTGACTTGGAAAAACATAAAATGGGTGATCGCTATCAAACTGAGTACTTCTGAAGCTCATTCGGTAGTGTGGTTCATCGGAACAGGAGATCACAGAAAAACCAGCATTGATACAGCTGCACAGACCATACCAAGTATTCAGGAAGACAGATAAAAAGAAGTGAGGAGAGGATAATTTATTTATGCTTTTCATTTACTAGAACGTAAAAATTATGCTGAAATTTAAACTGCTGCTACAACAATAACAAGAGAACAATTTTAACTCTGGTTAAAATGTACACACCTGAGTGACACCATGTTTCCGAGCTCTGCTGGTAAACTGCGAATTTTATTAGAGGACAGGTCCAGATATACCAGATTGTGAAGCTTGGCAATGTCTGAAGGTATACGGGATAAGGAATTGTCACTGAGATGCAAAGCTGTCAAATGGGTCAGTGTCCACAATGACGAACTTAAGCTCTCCCTACAGAAGGAAGATAAAAAATAAAACATTTAAAATACATAGGTTTAGCAATAATTACACATTTTGTAATTACTTGGGAGTTGGGGAGGGGGGTGTCGAGGGTGAGTTTTGTTTAGGTTTTTTGGTGCTTTTTATCATTTTATTAAATGAAAATTCCATTAATTGCTGATTCCATAGCTCAAAAAAAATTGGCAATACATAAGAGAATGTAAGGTGTTGCTAGGGATGCTTAGATTGTTTTTTTCCAAAGCATACTTAAGGTTTAAACATCTGTCTTTCTCAAGTTCCATACAAAACCAAACATATTTACTAACTGACCATGAATTCAATAATTAACATAGGTGAAAGAAACAGATTTTTTTCAATTACAGTTTGTATTTGGGGTGAAAGATGCTTCTTCGGTTTGCCCCTTATTTCTGTGCAATGTCTTTCAAACCAAAGATCTTTATTCTTTGGCATTAATCCAGCCAAGAATAGACAGAAGCACTATATTTAGGGTGACTAAAATGCTTAGTTGAGAACATGGATTTCCATCTGGCATTCAACTAAAAGCAGCATAAACTATTGCCAGATATTTTTTTAAAATTGTATGATTTTTATATAAACTGAAGGGTGGAAACATGGATTTGTGTGACAGAATCAAGATTTTCACATTGTCGCATGCAAGAAATGTGAGATACCATCAGAAAGTCTCAAAACATTTCTTCTCTCCAGGATTTTTTCCCCAGGAGTGGTTCCCTTTTCACTTACATAAGTCATTTCACTGTACCAAAAGCATTAGAAGAAGAGTACCAACACCAGCTTCTCCAAGGAAAAAAGTTACTTGCAACAGCCTTTAAAAACCCCACCATGACTCACCAATATTAAGAACAGTCTAGTTACTATTATACCAACATGCACACATTGTAATTCCTTTCCTTAAATGATTTCCTTCAAAATAAAAGAAGTCATATTTAGTGCCTGGGGAAAGCTACACTGATACATGTGTATATGGGACTCAGTCCCTGGTAACAAAAGGTTTAATGCAGGTATCATTTCCAGTGAGCTATAAGATGGTGAGCAGCATAAAAAAAACCTGCAGTGAAAAAGCTCAGTGATTTAAATGAGAGCAGTTAAAACATTTGTAGCTTTCAAGTATTTTGCAAGGAAAAGACAATGTGAACATTAATTAAAACAAAAACATTGTCACATTTTGTAAGGCAAATCCATACAGTTCTTAAAAGATTTATGCTACTGTAATGCTCACTAAGAAATTTTTTGAAAGGTTTTAAATAAACATCAATAGTTCTTTGCATTTTTTAAATTGAATTAACATCTCTTCCCCGCCCCCCAATGCAAACAGGTGACTGTGATCAAAGAAACCCTTGCAGCTGAAAGGATTTCCAATCAACATCACTGATCCATCCTCTTCACTACCTGCACCTCTGTTGGCTGGAATCAGTCTACAGTGAGATTACCAGGCATGAAAGGAAAGAGCCACCACTTAACGCATTTCCTGTGCAGAGGCAGCAGATGCCCGAGTGGATATCCAAGCCTAATGCTGACATATAATGCTGATTCTTGAAGCAGCATTTAACTAGGTTTCTGCATCCGTAACATTCAAGTAAAGAATGTTATTCACTTGTTAAGGCACGTGGCACTTGAAGCAAGACACAGATTCAATGATCTGGATGGAAAGACTCTTCACAGTTCAAAGACCTCTATTTGTATTCTTCCTTCCATAAATTTCTCTGTTGCAGTCCTTTAGAAATATCACATCGCCATTTTTGCAGTCTCTTAAAGAACCTTCATATTTAAGCAAAATTTCAGCCTGACTTTACACCACCACCAAGTAATTTTTAAATTCTTAAAATATTTGCTTGAATTTCCTTGAAAACACACTTCATGTAGCAAAATCAAGAGAGACTGGTGTACCACACCAGTTGGGATTAGTGTTTATGAATTCTGACCACTCTCTTATTTTTAAGAAAAGATCCAAAAGTCAAACAATATCTCAGAGCTAGCACGGTTCTTGGAGAATCTTTTTCATCTTTTTTTTTTCTCTTTTAAATCTCAAGAGCAGAGTAAAGATTTACAACTGCTTTTAAACTGAAAACTTCCGCTTCGATAGAAACCACACTGTCATGGAGTAATACAACATTGTTGTTGCACTACTTAAAGTAACAGCTTATGTCTATGTATCATCCCCAACTTCATCGTCTTCTCTTTGACAAATTAGATCTTAAATCCATGCTCTCACCCACTCCATCTTCTTAAAACACAAAGAGCTCACATCCATATCCTAATTTTCCTGACTTTCCTGCAAGTTAGGTTTCCCCACCTGCCTCAACTTACCTCTCCTACAGCTCCCTACACTATTCCAACCCCGTCTCTTCCCCTGACACACCCAGAGGCTGGCAGCTGCTACACTGGCTCACTTCAAGGCAGGTAACTCCACTCCAGACTTCTTGTCCAAGCCATACTACATAGTCTACTCTTAACTTGCAATGAGTTCAAAACTCAGGACCATTCCTCAGTTTCTTACCACTTATTTCCAACTCTGCCCAGTGTGATTTCTTTCCGTTGGCTGCTTCCTCTGAGGACATAATTGTGTACATCCTCCGTGGATCAGGTGGATCGTACTTTTCCTTGTTTTGAGATATAAAGACAAATAATTAAAGATACTACATACTGAGAATTCTTTAAAAGGAAATTTCCATTTCAGTCAAATTTTGCACTGGATGTTTGCTGCAAATAGTTTTCAAAACTTCAGATAAAGACAACCTGTGCCCATTTACAAACTTCAGTGAGTGGGAAAGACCGCTGTGAAATAGAAGAACACAGAATCCTAATGCTCCTAGAATGGCAGACAACAGCCTAACCCCCCACCCAATAATTAAAAAAAAAAAATAATCCATAAACCAACATAAACACTGTGAACCCCCCACCCAATAATTAAAAAAAAAAAAAAATCCATAAACCAACATAAACATTGTGTCCTTCCACCTTTCATGGGTATATCACTGTGTCCTTCAAAATCAATCCATCCTACTGCAGGCTGTTCAACAATGAAACTTCAAAAAGTGATGATCACTACCACTGGATTCTCCCTCATACAAACTACAAAGAAAACATTTGCTAATAACCTTGACTATCTATCAGTTCCAGATTTACTGCAATTCTCAACTTTTCACACAATTCAGCATCCAAGAAAAGAATTAAGGTTTCAAAAAGATCCTCAATTCTTTAAGTTCTGCAAAATTACAGAAGTGGAAAAACACTCTTGTCCAAAAAAAAAAAAAAATCCTCCCTCTCAAAAAATACCTCCTTCCAGCTTTCCTGTACATTAACATACTTGTCCTGTTTCACTGAAAAGAGGAGGGGGGAAAAAAAGGCCTTCCTGGCTCCACCATAAGGCTCCATCCTAAAGCCCTGTGCCATAACACTCCCTGTACCATAAGCTAGCTCTCCTCTGACCCAGGAGATATACATCTGAGTTGTAGTCAGTTTAAGAGGAAAACCAGCTTACATAGATTTTAAATAAATAAATCATGACTATATTAGTTTACAAGTTAGCTCTGTTTTCAGTTTACATAGGACTTCCAATATAAATCCAATTTATCACAAATAAGTGTAATGCTTTTGCACTGCCCTACATATACCTAAGAGCTTTTATGGCAAAGATTTCACCACCTTAAGCTGACACATCCAAGCAACAAGCTATAAAATTATTTATATGAAATAGAGAAATTTAACAACACTGGCTTAAATCACACTTGCAAACACATTACAAGCAACATTATGCAATTATTAAGCAAAATACATCACAGCAATATTATAATACTCCCCCAAAACACACCAGCTATACTGGTCAAAATCATAAGCACACCTACCTACCAGGTCTCTTAAGGCTTTCTAATTTTTTCATATCCCTGGACAAAGTGAATACATCAGAAAAGTGTTGTAATTATACAGAGAGAATAAACAAGGAATAACTGTTAACAAATTAGACTATCAACCAGACTCATTATCTGCTTATTGAATTTACTAGAAAACATTTACCCCACATACTAAAAAACCCAGACACAACCCAGCCCCCCAACCAAACAAAAACTTTCTGCTAATTGCACATCTAAATTAAAATAAAGCTTTTCGGCACACCACATGCTTACTTTAATACAACAGCTTTTACTATTTGACACTCCTCCTTCCCTTTCCCACTCCCACTACTGGTCAAAACCAGATTTCTGCAGTGAAAAGAATTTCCCTTTAAAAAGTGAATTGTGGGTAAAAGGATGAGATTATAAACAGCAGCTGGGTGGAGCTCCTTAAAGAATGAAGGCACTTGAGTACCCAGGGTACTGGAATCACTAAGTGTAACACTTTCTTCTTCAAACTAAGCTAATTAAAGGAGATAAGACTGGATTATAGCCACCAGAAAGGTAAAAGCATAACTTCTCCCTGCAATAACTATGCAGCAATCATATATAGTAATATATAGTAATGTATAGAGCATCTCTTCTGAAATCGCTGTATGTAATTACAGATAATACACAAAGACGTGCTCCAGCCTGTCAGGAAACATTTACCTTCCTCGGTCATTTGATGCTTTCTCTTCCTGCAGCTCCCTGAATTAATAAATATGTTCCAATTTTTCAAGAAATGAAGCAGGTATACTAGAGACAGAAATCTCATTCAGTACAGAAACGCGAACACTCCCCAGAGCACACTCGATCACATGCACTAATTAATGGCCTTGCTGCTACCAGCAGTATATCACTCCTTGCTACCAGAAAAGGATGACATACTTTTCCAGTGGGTTTTGTTAATGTGCACTAAAACAACTAGAGATTTAAGAATTTGAGGTTTTAACACTGGATTCCAGTGACCCCGTGCTCCCAGTCCATCCACGGCACTACTCTCCCCCTTGTCAGTGTTCCAGCTCTTGATGGCTTTCCCTTTCTCACTGCCCCATTTCACGGCAGATTATTCCCTGATATTTAGGATTACTGGGAGTGGAGGAAAAAAAAAAAAAAAAAAAAAAAAGCAGCAAATGCTTGAGAGCCTCCTGGCTGAAGGAGCTGCTGCTGACTGACAGCATCACTGACACTGGCCACACCAAACACCAAGGATACTGTCACAGCAAGTGTCAGTGTGTCTCTATCCATCACACAGAGCTCAGGATTTCTCAGGACCTGACAGCAAGGCTAAATTTGGGTCATATTTCACAGGACATCATAAAACACAAGTGCAATACCTTAAATTGCATTTCAGAATTTCACAGCATGGAGTAATTCAAGAGAATCAGTCTCTTTTACAAATAGTTGTTTCACCTCCTTTCTCCACCTCCCCAAATCCAAGTTTAGAGCCTGCGGAGCTGCTACAGTTAACCGCGAAAGCTTTTCGGCACGTCAGATAAAGTGATAGGGTTTTGTCAGACTAAAGCAATTTTAAGTAAGAGCTGTGAAATGGTGTTGAACAACCTTAAAGCCATTGATAACTGCAGCTTTAAACTATCATGACGATCATTTTCAGAAGAGCTTACAGCACCTGTAATTTTCAGTTACACCGACACAGATGGTGGAAAGCACCACCGAGTGCGGGGCTGTTATCACGTGCAGTGAGTGAGTCTGTAAAGGAGAAAATCTTTATAAACATAAACTGAACAAAGAGGATGTTTAAATATGTTTGAATGCAAATGAAATTGTTTACTATCTTGTACCAGGTTATTCAAATTGTTATTTAAATAGCTGTAAAAACAGAAGAGCTTGAGAGTTCAAAGGGAGCATGGCTGCCCATTCCTACCCCAGGTCACTTAGTCCCAACACAATTAACACCCCTTACCCCACAGAAACTGAGCTAAACCAGGCTGATGAGGGCAACAGGACAAATAGTCTGACGTAGAGAATGAGATCTCAAGTCTTCAGCTAGGCACAGTTTTAAGCCCCCGTTTGCACAGAGGGTGCTGAGAGACAGGCAGCGGGACAGGGCAAGGGAGGGCAACGGCAGGGAAAGGGTCAGGGCAAGGATGACGAGGATCAGAAAGAGAAAAAACCTGAATGTTGTAAAGTCTAGGGAGTGCAACCTGTTAGAAGACAAGCTGACAAAGCTGGCTAGCACAGCAGGTGGATGACAAAGCACCAGCTCTGGCTGCACTCGGAACAGGCCACCAGAGACCAGGCCAAACGCTCGCCAGCTGAGGTGCACCTGCACCAATGGCCGCCCGTCTCTCCAGATTAAACCAACGAGAGCAGGCAGGGCAGGAACAGCCAGGCTGGGTGCTGTTTCAGAAAACTGTCCTCGCCAAAAGACAGCGTGACGACCAGCAGCCGTGCGAGCGGCTACGGAGCAGGGGCTGCTCC